TCTGGGCATGTACCCGTCTGGAACCTCCATGTGTTCAGCAACCCAAAAGTGCATCAAATCTTGTTCAGGTTTATACAGAGCTTGATCTTCAGCCCCGTGCTTCTCTCCTGGAGGTTGGTGGATGGGGCTGAAAGTTCTAAAACCCTCTAATCCTTTAATTACTTGTCTTTTGGGTGACTGGCCCCATCTTGAAGCTTTCTAGGGGCCCCATCCTAAGTCACCTCATTAGCATAAACTCAGGTATTATCAAAGGGGCTCATTACAAATAACAGAAGACACTTCTATCACATACAGAATTTCTAAGGTTTCAGGATCTTTGTGACAAGAACTGGGACAAAGACCAAATATTTATTTTTTATTATCCAACAGTTACCCTCTACTCAGAAGCTCCCCATGACAACAGAGCCCAAACTTCTCAGGTAGCATTTAAGACTTACACAGCTTCCAGTGATTCTTGTCACCTCACTGTGGTCTGGGCTGGTCCATCTTGCAGATTCCTGCCTCTACACCTTTGCCCCATGCTCCTGCCCCTTCACTGAGTTGATACATTTCTTAGGACTCCAGTTGTTCAGAGATGTATGGAACCTCAGAAATGAGCTGGTTCAACCCTCTTATTTTATTTATTTATTTATTGTTTTGTTTTTTGCTTTATTAACCCTCTTATTTTATAGATGAGGAACTGGTGACCCCAAGAAGTGAATGGTGTAGCCACGGATTGTAGATTTATCTCTTAAAAGACAGAGAGAACAGTAGCAATCCCTGAATTTCTGGTGAGAAGTGCTGGAGATGGTCAGTTTCAAATGAGAAAGCGATATCATAAACTTTCAAAAGCACAAACCACAAGACAAAAAAAAAGATTAACTTAATTACACCAAATGAAGCTTTTCTCTTCAGTGAAAGACACCACGGGCAAAGTTAATAAGCATAATCAACACCTAGAACTCCTGAAAGTCAAGAAAAATAAAGCAAACCCAATTTAAAAAAAATAGCAAAGGATGTGAACATGTAATTCAGGAAGAGGAAACCCAAAAAGTTAACAAATATATCAAAAGATGCCCAAACTCACTAGTTATTAGAAAAATGCAAGATAAAACAACAGTGTGATGTCACTTTACAACTACCAGAAAGCTGGAAAACGCTATGACATCTGGGTAAAGAGATAGGGGTTGACAGGTCCTGCTTGGGGATGGGAGTGGGTTGGGGGAGAGTAGAGGGTGCCAGTCACTCAGGAAAACAATCTGCTAGTCCTTAGTCAAAGTAAGTATACCCACGCCCTGTGACCAGCAATTCTGCTCTCACGTATAGATCTCAAAGAAATCCTAATGGTGGGACCCACATGAGGATATTTGGAGCAGCATAATTTGTGGAGGCAAGGAGCTGGAGATCTTCTTTAAACCTACCAGCCAGGGAGCAGATGGGTAAAACAGGTGGAGATCATCACAGAGCATGATGCACAGTGATGTACAGGTACAAGGCAGATACAGAGCAACATGGATGAATCATAAAAACAAGTTTAAGATAAAAGTAAGAAACAGAATGGGCTTTGTAACATGACTAGTTACATAATTTAAAAATGTAAACACATAAAGGTTTTACAAGAACACAAAGAAACAAAACCATATATATCAAACACATTAGAATGGCTTTCTATGCAGGAGGTGGTGATGGTTACCAAAGGACCATTCTGTTGGACTAACCTGTCCCCTGGGTGAGTTAAAGGCAGAGGCATGGTCTCCACCCTGGCTGATGGCTCAGGCACTGGGGAGCAATGCGCTAAGGTAAGACTGCAGTCTTTTGAACAGAATGTGGGCTCGGAGGCCTGAGCCTCATTAGCAGGGGCCAGGTAGAGAGGAGACTGCCCTTCTGGGACAAGAGAGACCCACTGAAAGTTTTTTGTAGCCTACCTCCATAGCTAGAATCCCACCTCTGGAGATGAATCTCTTCGGGTTTGCACTTTGGGGAGATTTCTTAAGCCTGCTCAATGAGTAAACATGAAGAATAGTTTAGATATCAGGACTTAGAAAAGGAGGAAAGGCGAGGCAGCTGTCGGAATCAGATAAACTGACAGAGGCAAAGTCCAAACCTTTCCTTCCTCACAATTATTCCCCCCAGGGCACCTGGAACTATACTTTAGTGAGCACTTACTATGAGCCAGCAGGAGGCTAGGGATTTTTACATTTGTTATCTCATGTATTGCTCATAGAAATCCTGCACTGTGGGGGTGATGGCTCCTGTTTTACAGTTAAGGAACGTGAAGCTCGGGGAAAGTAACCAGGCCAAGCACACTACCTTGGTACATCGACACTGTTTTCCCCGTGTTTCAGGGGACACCAGTCCTTCCACTGCGACAGCTACACCAACTAGTGGCTCTTGCCAGCCTGCCCCGAGTTTTCTGCTTAGCAGGGAATGCAGGGGGTCTCAAGGCTTGTGCTGCGTACTCCACAGCTATCAGAACTGCCCCAGCAGCTGTCATTGGGACATGGCAGGTCTGCAAAGTATACACCGCCTCGGAGGCTCCTGCTCTGGGAAGCTCCTGGGGTTAAGCTAGATTGTAGAAGCTCTTTCTTGGTTCTCCACACCCTTGAGTCCTCAGATGTGGCTCCTCTAAACCAGGTCCAGTTTCCAGAGAACTGGAGGTGTCCCCTACAGCTGTTTTCCTCCCTGATCTGAATCTCTAGCATCCTGGGAATCAAGACATGGTGGGGAAGGGTGGCTGTGATGGGGAACCTTTACAGCAGAATAGCAATAAATTCCCCAAGGGATAGTATAATGTAAGCGAAATGCCAGTGAAGAATCTGTGTAAAACAAGAATAAGTCAGGGCTTTATCACATGCTTTAGCACTCCAAGAACAAGGATTTTATGCAGGTCAAATCATGTTTGTCAAACTCCCAAACTGCACAAAGTAAGTCCTGGTGAGATGCTATCAGGAACCCGGCCATCAACCTGTCCTTTGATCTCCTTCCCCTCTTTACCCCCTGCCAACATTATGTAAATAGCCTGTTTTTACTCAGGCCCCAGTCTAATTATTTTGGGCAAAATTTGAAAGAAAGTAATTTCATCCAACACAAAGTACTCTAAACATTTGAGGAAGAGATGGGAGGAGATGCGCTGTAACTTGCAGCAGATTGCTCCAGCCTCACCCAGATGTCCTGTCATAAATACTCAACATGATGATTCGACTTGACTTAAAGAGGAAACTATTAGGGGAAACTAGAAATTCTCCTTTTCTTTTCTTTCCCCACGGAAAGGAGTTTACACAACTGTGGAGAAAAGGGTATCACCAAACGAAAAGTTTACAAAGTTGTGGTTTATGTGTGAAATCAAAGCAAATTCATGTAAAGTTTATTCTCCCTTTCTGGGAGAAAGTGGAAATATAGGCTAGTAACAATTCCATTCTACATATATGATTTTGTCATTATTGCCTGTAAAGAGTCAGGCAGGTCTAGCTGTGGAGATTCCAATGCTAAGAGACTTGAGACCCATGATTTTTCTTAAGTCCAGATGCTGGCGAGCCCCCAGATGATCTCTGGGGGCTTAGAGATATGTTTGAATTGCTGCTGCATTGAGTGTCCCTGATAATTTCAAAACCAACAATCAGAACAGAAGGAGCTCTCTCCCCTTCTCTCATCTCTCTAACATGAGCTTTCTTGTTGGGGAGAGAAAAACAAATAAACAACAAAACCGCCAGGTGCACCCTCTTATCTTTTCCCGTCTACCTTTCTCCATGTTTCCAGAGGAAAAAACAAAAAAACAAACAAACAAACAAGAAAAACCACAACACTGAGCTCTCCCGATCTCCGAGCTCTTCTCATATGAAGGGTATTGTTAGCGTTCTGCATCCCGGCTGGGACCACGCCTGCCTTTCCCTTCCACACACAGGTGGACTTCATGGATTTTCTGGACCCTTGGTCTGGCTGAATCCCTTTACTCTAGGATTTTACACAGGGTTAAACTTGCATGGTGTTTTGATTTTAAAAAACAGCCACCATACCAGGGTACTTCAAATGTTCATGAAAAGATTTGTATTATCTTTTATTTCTGTTTTTTTCATGAACTTTTTGAAGTACCTTGGTATACACATCTCAGTTATACTTATTTACTACTCTGTAACTCCTCCCTGCCCCTTTTCTAGAATTTAGTCATCGCCTTTAACAGAGCATTTGGAAGCTTGATCTAAACTGTTGCACGTTTTAAGAGCCCCTTATCTCTTAAATTGGACTCTTCCTAAATGTCTCTGACACCAAGCTGATTTTTAGTGAAATCCTTTGAAGCCTCAGTGTTTCAGCATTTGGCCCTCTCTGAAGTTTCTTTTTTAAAACCTATACTGTAGTGTTTGGTAATAATATAACTAAAATTGTTAGAGACCGTACTATGTGCAGGCAACGCTTTGAGGTAGGTATGTACAAGTATCACCCCCATCTTATAGCGAATAAAACTGAGGTACAGAGAGAGTAAATAAGTTGCTCAAGGTCACACAGAAGGTAGCTGAGCAGGGGATCTACCACAAGGCTGTGAGCTTAATTATGCTCAAGCTCCAGTGTCAAAGAGACCTAGTGTCCATTTTTATCACTTCTCCCTTTTTGAGGGGCTGATGACATGGATAATCTTCTCAGCTTCTTTGACCCTGGGTTTCCCATAAAGCATTACTGGAAAGATCGATCAGTAAATAAGATAGATGCATGAGGGACCGAGTTCAGTCCCTAGCAGTCGGTAATTGTCAATTCTCCTATGCACCCCAGCTGCCACCCTCGTAAGCAAGGCTGGGCTCCGCTCCTCTAAATATCTGTATGAAACACCGGGGACCCGATGACATCCGTTTAAGAAGAATCATTCAAGGGAGTCCTGTGTCTGCATCCACCTGGCACACATGCCAGAGTCTCTCTTTATCCCCACATCTGTCTGCGCCCTGGTCCTACATTGCCACGCTGTGCCATCGGCTGCTCTCCAGCCCCGCTTCTCTCCCGGTCCTGGACTCCTGCCTCGGGGGCTCCCGCCTTACCATGGCATCGTAGCGCAGGGCGTTCATGAAGTGCGCCACCTCGGTGCCTTTGTACACGGTGAACCAGATGGTGCCCTGGTATTGGTCGCCGGCGTCTAGCAGCAGCACGTTGGGCTCGGAGTGGCGGATCTGCTGCACCTTGGTAAAGAGCCGAGCCACGCCGCCCACACACAGGCTGGCGTTGACGCACTTGCTCGAGTCGGCGTTGGTCTGCTCCAGCCGGCTGTGCACGTCGTTGGTGTGGCTGCTCCTCCCGGGGTGCGAGGGAGGAGTCGGGGCCGCCCCCTGGGAGCGCTCGGTGATTCTCGCCTCCTCTGAGCCGAGTGTTTTTCCACAAGAGGAACGTTTGGTCTGTGTTGGGCGTGTGGCTGCGCGAACTCGTCACTTCAAGGAGCGAAAGAGGGAAAAGAGAGGGGGTGGAAGAAAGACGAGCGGCCGGGAGGGGAGCGAGGTGGAGCAGGCGGGAGGAGGGGCGCTTTGTCGTCCGGGGCTGGGCAGCCAGAGGCGCCCCGTGAGATGGGATGCTGTCTTTGGGTACGAGAACGCTTCTTTAGACATAGAATCTCCTAGTGGAGTTTTAAGCTCAAGAACGAGATTTATGTTTGGACTGATAAGAAGAAGCTGCAGGAATGAAAAAATTGATAAGAAGCTTGGACTGGAGGCCAGGGTCGTAAAATCTCCCGAAAGCAAAAACATGAATTCTGAAAAGCAGCAGGGAGAGCCAAACCTTTCTTTAGTAATACGCTCCGTTTTGAATGCTATTGCTTTTTTTTTTTTTTCTCTAAATTTGGAGGTTGTATCAAATGCCTTTTAAGTTCAAAAGTGATTTTTTTTTTTTTAAAGATGACCGGTAAGGGGATCTTAACCCTTGACTTGGTGTTGTCAGCACCACACTCACCCAGTGAGCTAACCGGCCATCCCTATATGGGATCCGAACCTGTGGCGTTGGTCTTATCAGCACCACACTCTCCCGAGTGAGCCACGGGCCGGCCCCAAAGGTGATTTTTAAAACTATACTTTGTGCAATAAACCTTTTGGCAATCCAGTGAAGCCAATGGACCCTTCTCAAAATAATGCTTTTAAATGCATAGAATAAAATAGATTACAAAGGAAACTAATTACAGTGAAATACAATTATCAAAAAAATTTTTAAAATGTGTGATATAATAATAAATGCTTTCTTTATTAATGCATTAAAAAACAAAAACATTTAAAATATTAGCAAGGTAAGCTACATTTTATTTTTTAAAGATATTATTGTGAAACCAGTAATTGCTTAGCTTGAATAAGAGAATTAAACTATAGAGTGGTCTTTGACAAAACAACACACCTGTCATGTTGAATATCTGATCAATTTTGATTTCTTTTTTTGGATTATCCTAAGTGTTGACAATCTCAGTTCACAAAACTCACTTTATAAGGCTAAGATAGGAAGACTATTTTCAAGGAACACCATACACTTTTTTAAGCTAAACTCCAATTATAGTGAAATTTTTGCTCAAATATCAATGAGTTCATTTTTGACTAGCCATTATTTTCAATATAGTTTACCATTTTTTTTATTTTTAGTGTTTTTTTTGTGTGTGTTTTGTAAATGACCTGGGATAGGCAAATATTCTGTCAACAGAAGATAACCAGTACAATGTTGACTAGAAATGGTAATGGACCTCCATATGTTGTCTTAAACTTGGATGGAAAGCATTCACTATTTTTACCATAAAGTATGATGTTTTCTGCAGATGTTTTGTATATACTTTTATCAGCTTTCTGAGACGTTTTTATAATGTTTATTTCTTTGAAAACAGAAATCTGAAAGCACCCAGAACACTTTCAGAACTCTATCAAAAATTATATCTATTTATATGACATTAAAGTTAAACCATGGATGCATAATCCCTTTTTTCTGATATAAACTGTGTCCTCCATCACTTAAAAATTAAAAAGATCAACAAGATATTAGTAAATCACATCCAAAAATATATAAAAAGACTTATACACCATGACCAAGAGGGATTTATCCCAGGTATGAAAGGCT